ACTTAGAGGGAAGAAACAACATGAGAGGGAGGCATGGTTGGGAAAATAATATTAAAAAGTTAATTCAAACGATGTGATAACGTGGGCTGAACTCATCAGCCCCACAGGATCAGATTCGGAGGCAGGCTATTGTGAACACGGTTAAAATATAAGTTTCATAATAAGCGGTAAAATTCGTGGCAATTTCGATTTTAAAATGTATACAAATGTTCTACATTCAGAACTCGAAGTTGTGTAAAATATTTATTATAAGTTTATCTTCGGGTACAGACTGATATAATAAGAAAAATTCAGTTCTAAACACAAAATTCGGACAAACAAAGACTCTGTATCGACTACAGAAATCAATGGAATCGAAAAAAAAGGGGGGGGGGAGAATGAATAGCAAGGAACTTGAAACTCGCCACGCGCAGAGAGCGTGTTCTTACCAGCCGTCATGCTATGAACCTTCGGTTATACGTGAGACTTCCCGTCTGTCTCACGAACGAAAATGGTCCTTTATTATACAAACGAGTTTACACTTTTAAGTACCACTATTCTGGTCCGTTAAAGGCAAAAAGACTTTCATCGGAACGGATTATAACACATAACCAAGTTACCGTCACGAAAAATCATTAAGAAATTTTATACCAGACGAGACTACAGGTTCTGACGGCGGCTAAGAGGATGACCGACTTAAAAAAAAGTCGTGTAATCTGGTAGATCCTTACTGACGTTTCAGAGGTAAATACTGCCTCCATCATCAGGGCTATAAGTCTGATGAGAGAGGCAGTACGCATCTCCGAAACGGTCAATATCTGCCAGACTTAATGGCGCAAAATCCCAGAAGACAATAATCTTAATTTATTTATCGGCCTGAACAGAGAGAAAAGTTGTCTTATTACAGAAGGCTTACACAGTGGATACAAAATACGAATGCTTCACGAATATAGAAAAAAAACAAAGGAATTACATATTTCTTCATGCGATACATATAAAAGAGTATATATTATTTAAATCTTGTCCGTCTAATCACAATAAAGTCTTATTAAATATTAAAATATTACAATAATTAACATTTAAAATATTAAATGATGTTCTTTATCGAAATATTCGATTTACATTAGACCATAATATTTCGATAAAGAACATCATTTAATATTTTAAATATTTTAAATGTTAATTATTGTAATATTTTAATATTTAATAAGACTTTATTGTGATTAGACGGACAAGATTTAAATAATATATATTTATTATATCACAATATGACGCAACTTTACCATCTCATATAAAAGAGTGTTAAAAAGCAAAAACTCACAAAATTACATAAAATAATTGCTTTAAAACATCAGTTATCCAATACAGGCTTTAGGATATAGCAATAAACTTTAGCAAATATAAATATTTCACAAATAACAGCCTGAAATAAAATTTTGAATGTTTCATTATGACACAGTTATATACACTACACATTCTAAGCAATCCTGATTTCTTGTACATTAATGTTTTCGGGGAGTACGTAGGTTACATTTCCTGTTATTGAAACTGGATTGTTCAAGAAATGCACCGTTATCTAAAACACTATTTACAGATTTTTAAAGAAAAGCCTGATCACTAATATCACGATTATCGGCCAGAGTTAAACAATTAAATACTTTAAGTAATTTACAAATGATACTTTATTTTGTTAGGCAGATGTATAATACGTCTTGTAATACAAAATGCAAGACATTTATTAGTGCCGTAAGAGATATCAGACCACAAGCACCAGATTAGAAACTGACTTTTGAACATCATTTGGCCGTCTCCTAGCAAGCCTAGATACTTTGTTAACTTCTACAAATATAATGTGTGAGTAAAATGCTATATGTACAGATCAATAAGAGTTACGCCTGTAACTTAAAGCTAGTTTCCCACTCGATCCTCCAAACAGCCTGTAATTCAACACATGGGAGTATCTTGTAAGTCGAGGTACAACCCAGTTCTCAGTACCACCAAAACTATTCGAGGGTCTGCGTCACTCCTTGACCCGTTCCAACCTCATACAAAAACGCTTCAGTGGTCAGGCAAACTAATTAATATAGTCTTCTGATCCATCTAATAATGTAAGCAACAATTTTAGATTAATGCGTTCTATATGCAAAGGATTAGATCCAGACACTCAGGTAAACAGATCTATTATGATAAAAAGTAGGCCTGTTATGATCAGTAGATTAATAGAACCGGTTAATCTACTCATTCTTTAAACGCCAATTATAAAGATAAACAATCACACAGCATACATTCTCAAAGTTCGCTGAGAAAAATCTAGCTCAAAAGTTTTCAACACAAATAGTCAGTACAGTATCTACGAACTGGCAAGGGAGGACTTTGTTCTATCCCCTTGTGTGGCTCTCACAGCCTCCTAGCCAAGGAGTACTGGGGCTCCTTTCCTCAGGGGCAAATCGCGGCTGGGGCCTTCAGATGACCACTCACCCCCTGATCTATCAGGAACATAAAGTCAAGTAGAAATATATAGACGCGGTATGTAGTACGCACGGGGAAATGAAAAATAGTACAAAATTTTGGTTTCAAGTGATAATTCGTAGGAACTAGGATTGCATGGGAGGACAGTATTAAAACGGGCCTCAGTAAAATAGTATAGGAGGATGTGAGCTAGATTAATATGTTTGGTTGTTAGGTAATTCTGAAATTACAAATCGCCACCAACACAATTTGTTTGAATAAATTTCTCGAATAAACACACTACCCTTCTATGTGATATCAGACGTTCGGTTTGCGACGTGAACAAGGCAATAACCGGCCTCGATCCACGGACTTTTCCGTCTGCAATGATGTCTCTCACACATCTCGACCGGTTACTTGGGTTCCTTAAGTCACACTGTCTGTACCAGTTTGTATAATTTGTGCGAGGTGCTTAAATTATTCTGTACCATGTTATGAGTAATTCGAGGTGAATTAGCAGTCATTAATCCAATTCGAAGAGATGTGAATAACCGACTGCTGAATAGGTTACCGGATGGAATGAGGTGTCGTGTCGAGAGAAATGAAAGTGACACTGACTAACACGTCTTTGTTGCAGTCAGTCGTGACTTTGTTTTTTCACGTCGAAATATGAACAATATAACAAATTACACTGTTGAAAATACAACACACTTTACACGTTCCAGAGCACTCGTGTACAAGGGATAATAAACTCACCCACTAGCCGAACGACGAAGCTCCATGGTGGTGTAATTTTCCATACGCAAGGCCCCTGAAATAAAATAACTTATTAATAAATTATCTGTAGACGATATATTTACGCTTCAACTTATTTTAACGGTGAACGTTTCTTTATCTAATTTACTGTACTCCACAGGTGAGCATTTCAGAACATCAGCAATACTGAGTTGTTCTTGGTTTACCTCAGTCCCTTCAGGCAAGTGATAGAATAATAAGTCTACCTTCAATCATGCCATAATCTCTTCCATCTATATCCTTCCTTAATCACATTTTCATCTCTTCTCGGACCACGCTAAAAAAAAACCTGCAGTTGAAATAACGTGATTCATCATCATGAACTATGAGAAATGAGATGCAACTGAATCTAAAATGAAAAGAGACTGGGCATAATTGCATCTAGAAGTATGAAGGATTAGACATAACTGCATTTCGAACTACGAAGTACTCAGTACACTGAGTGTTCCTAAACCATCAGAGTGTATAGTAGTCGGTCTCTAAATAATTTTTCAGGTGCACGGAATCTCTTCGCCCACTGGACTGCTTTGGTATTCCATTTGTCATCAATCTGTATATATCTTGTAGCCAATTCTCTTTCCTTTCACTGATAGTAATCAAAACATTTCTTTTCTGATGTGTCTATTTCGTTCGTGATGTAGTGACGTAATACACAGTTAAGATCGTGCCAGTGTCAATTCTGTTTACTCTAGTCTGGATGTCTCATTTTTTCACAAATCAGACTTCAGTACAGAATTTGAAAGATGCTTTTTCTCTAAAAACATGTGTATTTCTTAATAACATTTGTTTCTGTTCACATCCGTTCCCATAAATTCCTATCGGTAATTTATATTATAAAAACGCTGTAATACCAGTGGCGGCTCGTGAGTTTGAGCAGTGGTACTGCAGCGCAAGGGGGGGAAATCAGAATATAAATAAATGAAAAGTAAATTTACATCGGGAGAAAACCCTTACATGTTCGACGATGTTTTAACTATTTGTAAGTCCGGAAGAGGGCGGCCATGATTTTATACATAACTTTTTTCTCTCAAAGACAATTTAGAAAAAGTAATTTGCCGTAACTATGATACACTTCCTTTGCTCATTAACATTACCAGAACAATAAATAGTCAGCAGACAGAATTAGTTTTTAAGCAGTCGCAGAGCTACTCAAAACGTTTCTAGCCTTTTATGGAACTCGAAGGTTACAACCGTGTTCGCGGGAGCCGACATCGGTCCACATCCTGAAACAGATTAATTCAGAAGACGGTTGCCTTCTGAGTTGTAGCGCCATGTAGTCTGGTAGATGTTTGCCGACGTTTCGGAGGTGATTAAGTCAGCAATAATCTCTAAAACGCTGGTAAACTTCTACCAGACTACTCGGCGCTACAACCCAGAAGACAGCCATCTTCAGACTCACCGATGTGAAAACCTCAAATCCTACAGGTTAGTTTGTCCATACGCTCCCATAACTGTTTTTAAAAGATTCACGTCAACGTTCCACCGCCCTATCCAGAAGAACATGCAGCTGGATGGTATCCCGAGCCAGTTAAATCCAATCTACATACGTACCCTCACGCACATGAAAAATCTGTCCTCTTAAAAGACGTCTTGTATAGATGACTTGCTTGGAATCTTATTATATAAGATACTAAAAAGCAGTTCATGAGAATCTTTTCACGATTGTGAAAATTATGTAACATTTTGAGTAATTTGTTGCGTAGTTTTAGCAAGTACTCACCAACATTTTGGAAATACGTATTAACTCCATATTCACTCTACCAATCAGAAGATAAAGGCAACTGGGTCTTCCAAGACGTTGATGACCATTTGCAAGACAACACGGTAACAAAATTCAGAAAGACCACAGCCTACAGATGATAGGGGTGTTAAACGTAGCAAGCTAAGCATGAATGCTAACAGTGAGCACCTGACTGTCGTGATGAATCTCAAGGCTATTATATAGTACCAGCGGACAGTAGTAAGACCAGCAAATTCATGCATGGAAATACGTTTCCATTATCTACAGAAACTCTCTTATTCACTTGACCTGGTTTATTTCTGCTGAGAAACAGAGAGAGGTACGTATTTTTCTTACTAAAGCAAATCTCTGAACATTCCGGACTAATTACCCTGTGTCCTTCGAACAAACTAACTTTTTACAAACATTCTTTTCACTTTAAGGACATTATATTGTGTGTTCTTACAACATTTGAAGTATGTACAGATTTTCTTTACACAACGTTAACACCTGCTTTATCAGACGAGATACAATGATCCAAACCAATAACACCACAGGCCATGTATAAAAATGAAGTTAGTTTCAAATATATCGTGATAATATATATTCAGACACATACAGTTCGGCAGGAAAAAGCATGACAAAAATTATAGTGTAATGGCATTGACAATTTTAAATGACTGTATTCGTCAAGCCCCCAGTCTGTTAATGACGCCTCAAATTCACATGACTATGGTCACGCATATCCCTACAATTCAGTGGAAATAAGTGTGAGAAAATATTGAACCACTAAAGACCTTGAAAATTTTAAAGACTTTTATTCAGCAAACACTTGGGTTAATATTGTCGTAACCTTGCCATGACCTTCACCTATCCGTGACCTCAAATTTACATAAGTTTGGACACTAAGATCCCCATAATTCAGCAGAAATAATCGTGAAAACAAATCGATCCATAAATGACCTTGAAAAAATTTAGACGCCTTTATTCAGTAAACGACTGGGCAAATATCATAGTGACCTCGACACGACCTTGACCTATACTTGACCTCAACTTGACATGAGTATGGCCACTCAGATACAAAAAAACAGTTCGGCAGAAAGCGTGAGAAAAATATATAACCTCAAATGACTTTGAAATATTTAAAGGCATCTACTAAGCAAACTAAGGGGCTGATATAGTCGTGACCTTTACATGACTATGACATATCCGTTACCTCAAATTGACATGTGCATGGTCATTGAGATACCTATAGTAAGACAGAAATTAGCTTGAGAAAAAAGACCTTGATGTGGCCTTAAAATTTCAACGGCCTCAAGCCGGCATTCCCTTGGCCTGACATAGGCATTAGATTGTCACGAATTTCACGTAGCCCAACACAACCTACACGAAATTAACACACATATAACTAAAACCCTACCTAACATATAACATAAACCTAACCAAACATAACCTAACCTAACCTATCGTAACCCAAACCATCCTCACCCAACCCAGCCCAACTTAACTCTTTAAATGATGTTACCATTACCTTGACGTGAACTTCAACTATCCGTGTCCTCAAATTGACGTAAGTGTGATCACTCAGATACTCACAGTTGCAGAAATAACCTTGGGACAAATTGTAATTCAATTGACATTCAAATTTTTAAAGACCTCTATTCGGCAAATCATTCGTGACCTTGACATGACCTTCACCTATCCGTAACCACAAACTGACATTATAGTCACTCAGATCCTACAGTTCGGCAGAAAGGATCGTTACGAAAATTTGAAACTCAAATGACTTTGAAACGTTTAGACGCCTTTATTCTGCAAATCATTGGGCAAATATTTTCGTCACCTTGCCATTACCTTGACCTATACGTGACCTCAACTTCATATACCTACAGTTCGGTAGAAATATACGTGACAGATATGACCTTGAAAACTTAAAGATCTTTTTCGGTAAACCACTGACTGACAAAGCAACAACCGAACGGGTTAATTTACAGAAAAATACTGTAATTATTTCAGTTGTGAGAAATCAAGTACGGGATTGTAATTAACAAGAGTATCAGTAGTAAAACGTCTCTTACTTTTAAAGACATAAGAAATTAGTCTCAACAGAATACAGGTTATCAGGACTGTGGTCTCGTGTTTTATTCAGTCTCCAGACGAATTCGAAGATACCTAAATAAGCCACAAGCTATTCTTTCTCTATCCGACATAAAAAGTAAAGTAAAAACGTCAATCTACGCCATATAGGCGCTTGGGGGAAGAGGGCATTAGATGTAGATGAGTGGTCAGCGTCACGATCCGGCCGTGCTTTACCCCGAGAAAGGACTCCGGTACCCATTGGATAGGAGGTTGTGTGGGCCCCAGAGCCGGTCTAGACGCAGTGGCTAGAGGAAAAATCCTATGCCCCTGTCTGGGATCGAATCCCGGACGTCCAGTCCATATCCGACATACTACCTACAACTATCCATGAATTTTATTTGACGCCAAGATTAAAAATATATTCATAGCTCCAATGTGTCGTCGAAGCTTGTTTGAAAGATTATGTTTTTGGACAAAGCTTTAGGTTTAAGAAATGTTCAGAAAATTTATAATTTTTGCAAACCAACTCTAATATTCCGTGGGAATTATTACTTAGCGTGTTGAATCGGCTACGTAAGTGAGGTAACTGCATGCACATAGACAATATTAAAAAAACCTGTAGTTGATACAAATTCAAATATCACGTATATCTACATACAACACAAGCTACGAGAATGAAACTCCTTTCAACAAGAAAGGAAGTCATTCTACGAATGTATGAGGAAGATATGATTCAGACAATGAATCGTCAACATATTTTATGTAGCCTATACCAACGTTAACAAAAATGCCTGCATTCCTTGAAGGCCGAGTACTGTTTTTTCTTGGAGTGAGGCGGGGAAAAAGGCAGTACATTAGAGTCACGGAACCCCATAGCACGTACACGCAACACTACAAAAAAAATTAAAAATAAAGGAAAAACTTTGCTTGCACCAATATGAAATAAAGAAAGGAAAAACTTTGCTTGCACCAATATGTTCAACAGCTGGCATTTTATAAATTCCGTGGATAGCAGAAATCTCGAGGCTTTGTCTGGGTCAAACTCCATGAAATTATTAGCGGTAACTTATTTTTATTATTTACTTAGTGTTCTGTCTGACGACAGGTCCATATGAACAGGATCCTTCCATCCTTTTCTCGGACTGGGACCTGTTCATATACGTTCTTGGCAGATGATCCAGAAGTGGTTTGCAATTGCCTTCTTCTGTGTGTGA